CAAAGTTTACACCGACACCGTCCTCGGCCACGGGAGCCACGGAACGGTCGTGTACAAGGGTTCCTTTGACGGTCGCCATGTCGCCGTCAAGCGCATGCTTGTCGAGTTTTACGACGTTGCCGCCCACGAGGTCGGCCTGCTCCAGGAGAGTGATGACCACAACAACGTTATCCGGTACTTCTGTCGCGAGCAGACCGCCGGATTCCTGTACATCGCGCTGGAGCTCTGCCCCGCCTCCCTGCAAGAGATCGTGGAAAGGCCGTGGGACTATCCGACTCTCATCACTGGCGATTTAGCACTGCCGGATATCCTTCGCCAGATCACCGCTGGTGTCCGCTATCTCCACTCCCTTAAGATCGTTCATCGTGATCTAAAACCGCAGAACATCCTGGTCGCCGCCCCAAAAGCGCGCCGCGGATCTAGCGTCCTTCGGTTGCTCATTTCAGACTTTGGTCTTTGCAAGAAACTAGAAGATAACCAGAGCTCGTTCAGGGCTACAACCGCTCATGCCGCTGGAACGTCTGGCTGGCGCGCTCCGGAGCTCCTCGTTGACGACGAGAGTCCGGCAAATCCCGCTATGTGGTCGAACAACAGCATGGATTCGTCAGAACCCGCCGTCGTAGACCCACAGACAAACCGTAGAGCAACCCGAGCCATTGATATCTTTTCTCTCGGTTGCGTCTTCTACTATGTCTTGACCCGTGGCGGCCACCCCTTTGACAAGGATGGCAAGTTCATGCGAGAAGCAAATATTGTCAAAGGATATCATAATCTGGATGAGCTGAAACGTCTTGGGGACTATGCTTTCGAGGCGGAGGACCTGATTAGAAAGATGCTCTCTCTCGATCCGCGTAGTCGGTAAGTTCCACGATCATCATACTGCGTGTGATTCTCATACGTGTTCCTAGGCCCGATGCCACCACAGTCATGATACACCCCTTCTTCTGGTCTCCGGCAGAGCGACTCAGTTTCCTATGCGATGTGTCCGACCATTTCGAATTCGAGCCGCGAGACCCGCCATCCCCCGCACTAAAGTGTCTCGAGTCCGTCGGCGGCAATGTCATGTATCCAGATATGGACTTCCTCAAATCCCTTCCCAAGGACTTCAAAGACAGCCTTGGCAAGCAACGAAAATACACTGGCAGTAGGATGCTCGACCTTCTGCGTGCACTCCGTAATAAACGCAATCACTATAACGATATGCCAGAGAACCTTAAGGCACATATCGGTGGCTTGCCAGATGGCTACCTGCAGTTTTGGACCGTGCGATTCCCCAGCTTGCTGATCAACTGTCATTGGGTGATCACGAAACTGAATCTGATGGATACTGAGAGGTTCAAGAGGTATTTCACTCCTCCGGAGTAGAGTTTAAGTCATAGAAGCGCTTTTATATACACATATCTTCCAGACGTGCACCGTGCGGATTGATATGCCAGGAAATACATGTTACGTAGGTTACAATTTTCCCTCTGGTATTTTCCATAGATGTCAATGCATTTTTATTTTTTATTTTCTTTTCCTTCTATTTTTTTGGAGGGGGGAAGGGGTCTTGTCATGACCAGTTACGTGTTTACTCTTAGGCCTCCAGCTACTGCTGCCAGGTTTCGGGGACCCGATCAAATTTATCATGGTTCCAAACGGCTTTAATATTTGGATTGTTCCTATACGTACATACATGCATACTCAGAACGCCCCACTGCTAGGAAGGTATATCAAGCTGAAATCGCGGCAAAATCATACAGTAGCTTTATGATAAACTCGAGCCGCTAGCTAACACTGATACTAACGATCTTCACATCCACCTCCGGCTTCTCCTTATGCGTTTTCACATTCTCAATCCGATGCACCACATCCAACCCCTTCACAGCCCGGCCAAATATCGTATGATGTCCATCCAACCAAGGCGTCTTCTCCGTCGTGATGAAAAACTGACTCCCGTTCGTATTCGGCCCCGCGTTCGCCATCGACAATGTATACGGCTTATCGTGCTTCAGCGAGGAAAACTCATCCTCAAACTCCCCTCCCCATATGGACTCTCCACCCGTCCCGTCACCGAGCGGGTCGCCGCCTTGGATCATGAACTTGCGAATCACCCGATGGAAGATGGTGTTGTTATAATACCCGTTGCGAGCATGCGTGACGAAGTTCTCTACCGCCTTTGGCGCGACGGACGGAAAGAGCCGGAGATGGATGTCGCCCATGGTGGTGTGGAGGATGGCAGAAGTGCCCATTTCAGCTTGTTTTTCAGCCGCGGCGGCCTGAGCGGCGTCCCGATCGTGCCGTGGCTTCTCGTTTTGTATGTCTCGTGTTGATTTTGAGATTTCGATTTCGTTGGTGAAGAGGTAAAAGCGGACCTTGGCGAATCCCGTACAGGCCAGGATTGGGTCACGTTCTTCGGCTTCTTGGAGGAGGGGATTGGCGCTGGCGGCCATGGAGACGGTGACAACGCCCTTTTTCTGCGGCTGGCCTTGATAGATGGCCAAGTTAAGGGCGCGGAACGGCTCATCCTTTCCAAACACTTTTACAACTCGGTTGGTGAAAGTGTTGATGCATTTGATCCCTAGTATGGAGCCGTACATCACGAAGTGCCCTGATTCATCGAATATCACGTTGATCTTTGGGGCAACCACGGGGTTTTGGAGGTCACGTTCGACAGCCATTCGACGACCGAACTCGACTTCTTCCAGCTTCTGTAAAGCTGTGCCCGCTTGCTGCATCTCTGTAAGAGTCGTGAGAGACTCGTCGTAGGATCTGTATAGCTTTCCCGTCGGAAAGTCGAATATTCGCACTTGGCGGTCAGGGAAAGAAAATGTCGCAAACTGATGGCCGGATGCGGAGAACGTGATGGACACAGGCGACGACTTGGCTTTTCTAAATGCGAATAGATCGGTCGAAGATTTGAGATCGAATAGCCCATCGGGTTTCTCAAAAGTGCCTTCTGGACGCCAATACTCTACCATGCCTTTGTTATCGGCCGATACGACGCAGTTATAGGTATTATTAAACGCCATGGCAACGACGGGAGCTCGATGGATGGACGACAAAATATGAAGGGGCGTAGGGTTCTCCCCTCGCCCGTCGAAAATGTGGATATCGTTGGCCGATTCACCGGACACAGCAAGGAGGGGCAATGACGCCCCTCTAGGGTGCACCCAGCAGACGCATCCGGGGACGAAATCAAGATTGAGGACAGACAGAAGATCTAACGTCAGTCAGAAGGACCGCTCGACAAGCAACGCATAAGGACCGCAGAGTCTTACATACCGAACGTAACAACATCAAATATCTTCACCGTCTTATCCGCGCCCGCCGTGGCAAAGCTTCGACCATCTGCGCTAGCATTGACGCTCTTAATTTCGCCCAAGTGAGCACGGAATTCTTTGACAAACTCCACGCTGACCGCCATCTTCTTCCAAAACTTGACCACTCCATCGATCGAGCTGGTTATCAGAAAGTCCGTCTGAGGTGTAACGACGACGAAAGAAAGCTGCTCCTTGTGCATCAACGACTTTGAGTACCGCGGTGATGCAGGCAGAGCATTAATGTAGAGCTTCTCGTACGGCAGCTTCCTTCGCTTCTTCTTTGGCTGCGCCGTGGGCAGGGCTGGGCCATAATCATCTTCTGAGGATGACACTTCGTCTAGATAGAGGCTCAGCACCAATGTCACAGAGAACCAGGGTCTTTCGTTCAGCCCACAAAGTACCTAGCAGTACGCACCATTTTCTTGCGACTCTTCCTCCAGCTGGGACCGAGATCGCTTGTTCGAAGGTCCATCTGGAGCGGCGTTTGTTTCGGCCATGATCGTGACGGCGCCAGAAAACAGCGTCGGATGCGCAGTACACCGGTGAGGAGATCTAGGGAAAGAGACAGATCTTCAAACCGACTTCGTCGCCAGCTCGAAACGTAACAACAACAAGCCGTGTGAAGAGAGCACCGTGTCGCTCGTTGGGTCGCTTTCGCTGAAGCTCGTCTGTTTGGATTTCCGCGGCACAGCTCCTACATCACGTGATCACAGCCCAAATCCATACCGGAAAAATGAGCTTTTCGGGCAACCGTCGGAAAACGTTTATCCGACGCGACCTGTTGAACCATGGGTCACAAGCTTGAAACCATAGATCAACCATATATTTACAATGCACATATAAAGGGTCTGAAACATATAGAATTCAGAACATATGATGCACCAATTGAGGGTTTTGAACCCAATTCAGAAGCTTTTCAATTACTAGAAACTAACTAAGTATTACACAACCACCTGCACAACCCAAATCATAATGAAGTTTTTTTTTTTTTTTAAATTTCAGGAGCCTCCTCACCAGTTGAAGTCTCTGGTTCAGGGACAGGGCATAAGACCAGTGCAGAAGAATCATCAGGGCAAGCCCATTCAGACTGCCTGATCATACTTTTGAGCAAATCATCTCCACTGCCTCCAGTTGGAGACAGGCCTGACACAGATATATTCAGCTGTAACTGAACAAAGAGAGAAGGCATGATTGGAGTGGGGAAGGAGAGAAGAGGAGCAGATGCAGCAGAGAACAGGACAGCAGCAAATCAGTCTATCTTAATTACTGATTTACAGACAGTTTCTTCTGTCTTTTGCTTTTTCTGTCATCAAATATCAAAGTCAGTTCAATTTATCCCAATATTGCATCAAGTATACTAACTATAGAAGATAAACAATTGAACTTTAAGTTCTGGCAGATGTTGGCCAAGATTCTTTCAATATTCTATATATATAACTACATTAGCATGAGTTGAATGTATGATCTCCAATCAGTTTAATCTATCTTGACAGAGCAGAATGTATGCTCTGCAAGCTCTTTTTGTTCAGCTTGAATGAACACAAGCTTTTCCAACACTGCTAAAGTAGCAGTACCAACTTCAGTATTGAAGAGAGGAAGAGAGGGGGATTTGTCAGTTCAGATTAACAGAGATGCCATTTTGGCAAGTAATTTACTGAGACCAGTGGCCTGTTCTGCCATACTAACTTTTAATTCCTCTCAGAGCATCACATTCTTAAGTCTGAGAAAATCATTATAATCAGATAGCAATGCTGCCACTTTCTTCTGCAGCTCTGAAGAAACAGAAGCACAGGCTTTTTTATCTCCTGCACAATTAATGCAGGCCTTCACAGTTTCTTGCTTGTGGGAACAAGACTTTTTAATGTACATCATATACATAAATGTTAAACAGCAGCCACAGAGTGTATCATCTATTATAGCAGACTCTTCTTTGACAGCTGAGAGCTTTTGCCCTGGCTTCTTCTTTATAAATATCAGAAAGTGCTTGTCCTGAGCTGCTGCCAATTTATATATTTGTGGAGCCATTTTTTGCTATTTCTGCATATATTGTTCTTCAGTTTGCTGCAGTTTCTTATTTCATTCTGAAATTCACCACTTACCTTAATATTGAAATAGAGAGAGAGAGGCAACAAGAAATATAATAAGCTCAAGAGGAGGAAAGAAAGAAAAGAAGAGAAGAAGAGAGAGATTTTGTGTGGAAAGAGATTATTATATCTAGAGTGTCCACTTGATTGTTTTGAATTTCCTAATCAGGACATGTCTATTTATACATTACTAAGTGCTAACTCATTTTGCTTAGAGCTTCTACAGCTGATTACAGTAAACAATAAAGAGATATATATTGAATATAGCAAAATTCAGCTCTTGCAAGCATTAATATAACAGAGCATTGCATTGAAGTCTAGATATCAAATCCTAAAATCTATTTTGAAGTACAAACTAACAGCCAATTTTGACTCAAGAAGACATCTTTTCATGTATTCAACTAGAATCTGCATCTCTTTCAGGGCATGTAACCAGTTGCAGCTGGCACAGGTCTCTTTGAACAGGCAGGCTAATTTATTACAGTCTCAAAATAATTCTCCATGATATTCTGCAAAGAATTTCAATTCTTCTTGTCTGAATCATCATTCTCTGGCTCCTACAGAGCTTGCACTGCCTGAGCCAGACATGAATCAGGTTCTCTGGACAGCATACTAGATGTCAACTGGACTGCATCCAGAATTTCTGGCAAAGTCTTAACATGAACAGTCTTTGGCTTTCTTGATCAGATCTTCTGTTGGGCAAAGTCATCCAAATTAACATTTCTCAGTCCTGGTTTCTGTGTCAAGCAGTTCCAGAGCTTGAGTACAGAATCCCAGGTATAGATTAACAGAATGGATGCATCCCATTTTAAACTATTATTATCAAGATACAGCTTTACATATGCTGCTAAATTTACATACACCTCTATTGCCATAACTGTCAGAGCAGAAATCATGGCAATTAAGATTTATTATTAACTTACATTCAAAATATCATTTCTCTTGTGGAGCTGACTTCTCAAAATCAACATACAGCTTGATCCAGTAAAAGACTTTACAGAATTGGTTCCACTTGAATAATCAGGCAAAATAGCTGATCAGTTTTTGTTAATCAGTTATTTCATGAAGTTCAAAATCAGAATTCTCAGTCAAGCTGAGTTTAATACATTCTCTGACATGATCCTACAAATAAGATCAGTTTATATCATAACTAGAAGTTTAGGGATGTTGTTCCAATCTTCAAGCTACTCAAGATCTTACATTTCCAATCTTTACAGAGGTCTGACATGCATCTGGAAAGTTCACAAAAATATAAGTCATTTCCAGCTTTCCAGTTTTCAAGGCTCAGCACCTTCTGGATGGTATCAGGAATTGGGTCAGTATTTAATGTTGATATATAGGCCCATCACATCCAATTTCATATCTCATGCTCCACCACTCAAACCTGCTTTTCAATCTCTGTATAATCAGAGAACACTTCAGTTCAGGTACTTGTATTCAAACTAAACAATGTTTCTTAAGCCTTTAGCATGTTGTGCAATTGAGCCCATGGGAAGGTGCAAGCTGTTCTTTTTGGCACTGGTGTACTCTGTATCTCTGACATTTTGGCTATCAGATTGCTGTTGAGAATGAACAAGAGTGAATGCTTGAATTTTGGAGAGATTCACTATCTATTATATAGTTAACTTGGAGTGCATTCAACTGCCCAAGTTGCTATTCAGATCTGTATCCATATTCCTCTACATTCTAAAATTCAACATCACTAAGTGATTGATTTCTTTGAAATAGGCTGATCATCCAGAAGAATGCAGATCATTACTGATCTTGCATCTCTTAGGGCTAATTACAGATCTAGGTGATCAGAATATTACAGTTAATCTGTAGCACAGTTGGCACATTTTGCAGCTGCTCTAACATTCAACTTTGCTATAATACATTCAATTCCCCAATCAAACAGCAATTTTCTTTCTAATTCCTACATACTTTGTCCTAAAGAAATTCCACAGCAACTCTCACTGTTCCTGCAACTTGAAACTTAACTACTGCAGAAACCAGCATATAAACCTCAAGCAAACATGTGAGATTCAAGATACTTGAGGTGTATAGAGAACTATATGTTTTGGAGAAGGCAACTTCATTTGCCATTTCCAGTCTTGCAGTTTTAAAGATACAGACAGCCTGCCCATTTGTTATGGGAATCACAAGATTACAATCACATTTTATCTTCAGTGGAACCCAACATTCAGCCAAACAATCAAACTGAGAAGTCAGGATTGAGTGTAAGATCTTGAATTCTCTGTCAGCCTGCATCATTCTAATTACTGTATACAGGATGCAGCAAGTCTTTCAGATGCCTCTGATGCTTCATTCAACACTCTATCCAACACTTATTTTGAATCAGAAGATATCAGAGTGCAGAAGATTATACAAGAAGCAGTAGCAGCTCTACTTATAGGATCAGTTGATAACAATGAATCACAACAGTATGAAGAGCCTGAATCTGAACCCTGGTTACAGACTATATTACATCCAGTACATCCAGTTGGCAATGGAGATTCCAATTTTCATTCACAACTAGAGAATTCATTGGGTGACCAGCCAGCTGAGATCTACATCCCAACTACAATGAATGACCTGTTGGAGGTTCTAGTCCATGTGTGTGTGGAGCCTGATGAAATGCTGAACCACTTCACACTCACTTTAGAATTATGGTGTAAAAAATCAGGAATATCTCACCAACACTACAAGGCACTGCAGGAAGTCTTACAGATTCCCAAAGATATCAGTATACTGAGATCTCTACCATTGGGGCTGAGCACATTGAAGAAGAAATGCAGAGCTCAATTCTCTATGCTTCCCATCCAACAGGCATTCATACCAGCTGTTCCATTGAAAATGCCAACTCTTTCACCTGCCAAGAAGCAACTAATACAGACATCTCTTACATCTAATTTATTCTTTCAGGATCCTGTGGCTCTTTTGTCATTACTAGCAAGGTCTCCTGTATTTCACAAGAAGATACATATTGGTATGGCTGACCTAGTTGACAACTCAACCAAATTGTGGCAATCATGGAGCTGGAGGAGCTCTATTAGATGTTCATCAGGTGACTTTGCATGATATCCTGACAAAATACCAGTCTTTTCTTTCAATTTTGTTTATTTCAGGTGCAACAATGCTGCATGTAAGTGTACTTGAAATGAACAAGAAATCCATATCAGAAGAATTTAATTTGTGAGTCAGAATCAGAGACTGGCCTGCACAAAACCCAGTGAAATTATTCTTATTGTTCAGTACACTATTACTGTCAACAGCTTTGATAAAAGAATCCATTTGCTGAGATCTTCACTTTGCCCAAACAAGCTGCTCTTACTGGAAGACCAGGAAACTCATATTATACATGAAGACAACATTCTAGCTCAACTGGATGTCCATCTTGACTACATCTTTGACAGATCAGATAGCTACAAACTCTCAGAAACAAATGAGTTCTTTGTACAGCAAGTGATAAATACAATTTACCACACATCATCTGTACAAGAGCTCCAACTTAGCACTCCACTCTGAGGTGAACTGGAAATTACAGCATACAGAAGAGATATGCTGATCAAGATGCTCTGCCCAGATGATACTATCAAGAGAATTATATCCATTCTCTTCCTGCTGTTCATTAATGGATTCAGTTTATATTAAAACATGTACCAAAATATAACTGGCTTCTATATAATTCCTGCAGGACTTAATGATTCTGAAAGAAGACAACAAAACAATGTATATATAATTACTCTCAGGCCTCATGCTACAAATTTTCCTGATGTTATAGAGGCATTGGCTCCTGGTTTACAAGCAGTTGAAAGAGAATTTGACATTGTGGTAACTGGTGAAGAAACTATCAGAGTCATTACTTCTTGTATTACTTATCTTGATGACATGCTGCAGCAAAATAACAATGCTGGAATCAAACACTCTACTGCAACAGTCTTCTGTCAGAGCTGTACTGTCTCTAATGTGGAGAGGTTCAATATGAATTTTAACTTGGTGAAACATGGTCAATACCATTACCAGCTACTCAATTTGCAGGCTGAAATTAAGGTAAAGCAGACTGTTCACAAGCAAGAAGCACTGTAAAAGACTCATAAATTAGTCAAGAAAAGTCTTCCAGTTTTGAAGATCTGTCCAGCACTGAATCTGGTGACATTTTTCCCCTCTGACTCCTGTTATAGTGAATTTTCAGGCCTGTTCAAAATTGCACATACATTATTGATATCACATATATTAACACCTGAGGGGCAGAAGAAATACTGCCAAACTCTACAGAGATTTCTATTTTAGAGACACTGAGCCCAACTGCAGTCTTCAATTACCCATCTGGAGTTCTACCAAATTCAGAAACATGCTCAAGCTTTAATTGTGATCCCAATTATACTTCACTTTGCTCTAAAGCCTGACTGGATTCAGACTGTTGTTCAGCAGGCTCTCTATAACTTCTTTAATAAACAGTTAATTGATTCTGACATTCTGTATTTGTTGCTTGCTAAAATCTTTGGTGCTATTGCAAGAAGCAATTCACTATTAACTTCTCAGACATCTGTTGGGTACAATGAACTTAAAAGTGTGGTTACCAACACCTGAACTATACTTCAGAAAGTGATAGATACTACTGTCATGGCTGTCAAGGCATCACAGTCAGCTAGCTGGGCAGTATGAATGCTGAGATCACAGCAGAATTTACCAGTATTCAATTGAATTATGACACCCCCAACAGAGAACATTTCAATTAACACTGTCAGTATTGCCCCAAAAGCAGGTAAGATGTTACATGCTTTGAAACATTAATTAAACATGCATATCAGGGTGCACTATACTGATCAGGCAAAGAAGTATGCTGTGCCAAATAACTGTAATGTACTGATTGGAGAGAATAAACACTATAAATATAAAGCATTTGTGCAGCAAATCAACAAGCATGATGTTGAAAAGATTTTACTGATTTATGAGAGCTTCAAATGCACTATATTCTTGATTCTTGATGGGACTCTTATGGAATCAGAACCCTATATTAGCAGTCAGATGAAGCAACTTCATTGCAAATGTCTGATTCTTATGCAAGACCTTGTGCAATCAGAACACAATAAGCAACAAGATGATAATGAGAATGCTGATGAAGCTAATGATTCATATGCTACCATCCCCTTCCATACCTTAATCAATGCCTACTGCTGACTACCAGCTAGCCACAAAGTTATGAAATTGCTTGATTTACAAAGCACACAGCTTTCCAAACTACTAATTATGCATTTCTTTTTGCAAAAGCTCCAACTTTCATACAGCAGTGATTGAGCATATCAACATATGCTTAGCAGAGGTTCAACCCCAATCTGATTATTTCAAAAGCTGATCTTTACATTTAATGAAGATGTGCATCACACTACATTGAAACTTAATAATCTGGTTGAGTATACTTGTGCATCAGGCATCAAGATCAGGCAAATAAGATGCATATTCACCCACAACCAGAGCAGCTGCTGGAGAGTTTTTTTTGCCATGTTCTCTGCTCATGAAATTCAGCATGAGAGGGTACTGGATTTGCCAATTTTGCAGGTAAATCAGAATGAGATTCATATAATTAGTCTACCTGCAATCCACAAATCAAGCCTTTACACAATACCTGTCAGCAAAGATTCCAAAAGACTTGAACTGGATTCTGCTTTGCTGACTATCTTTCTCAACTGCACTTGGAGCATTTCCTTTTTATAGGTGGATCAGACAGTTTGATGTATGTAGTATTGCATATTAGTTGAAATCTCTCCAGTGTCTGCTGGGGTAACTATACTATAATGATTTCTATACTATAATGGTTTCTATACTATAATGGTTTCTATACTATAATGGTTTCTATACTATAAACATTTATAAACCTGAAAAGGTATCCTGAATGTTCCTAGATATATTCATTGATCAGGGGTTTGAACATTTCCCAATTTCTATATTGAGGATTGGAAGCTATGTTTCCAAATTCAGAACATATATATTTTTAAACTTCCAAACAACCGTGGATTCGGATAAACGTATATTCCGACGTAAATGTATCGGGACTAGTGGATCTACGGTTTACAAATCCTCCCCATTTCTGCTATGGATCGTGTTGGCGGGAATCTTCTGCAGCTTACCTTGAGAGAGCACCACACATCGCAAGGGGAGGGGCCCAGGAGAGAACAGCTTCATTCCCCGGCATTCACGGTATATTTTAAGCTTCTTGCAATAGATTTGTGATCCGTCTGACTGCCCAATATGGTATGACCCGACAAATCCCCAAATAATTTTCTTTTCCATATATGCTGACCCTGGCAGTCGTTCAACAACCCCACTCAAATCTTCGCGGAAGATGTGACGGAGGAGAAGGGTGAAATTGCCCGTCTCTCTGCTTTTGTCGGTGCCATCGCGGTGGGAGATTTGGTTAAGAGCACCTTGGGACCCAAGGGAATGGACAAGATCCTTCAATCCGCGTAAGTGGGAGCTTTCAACTCGACCAGTTCAATAAGTCAGCTGTTAACGGTGTGAAACCAGCTCGACAGGGGAAATTATGGTCACAAACGATGGAGCTACGATATTAAAAGCTATTGCATTAGATAACGCTGCTGCGAAAGTGCTGGTGAACATCTCTAAAGTACAGGATGACGAAGTTGGTGACGGTACGACGTCCGTGACCGTGCTCGCTGCAGAACTACTACGTGAAGCGGAGAAGCTCGTCGAAAAGAGGATTCACCCTCAGGTTATCATCGATGGGTATAGAATAGCCAGCAAGGCTGCCCTTGGGGCTCTGGAGCAAGCTGCTGTCGATAACAGCTCCGACCCGGTCGCCTTCCGAAAAGATTTACACTCGATCGCTCGAACAACCCTCAGCTCCAAGGTCCTCGCTCAGGATCGAGACCACTTTGCTAGTTTGGCCTGTGATGCAGTCTTAAGACTAAAAGGCTCAACCGATTTGAGCCATATCCAGATCATTAAGAAGGCGGGTGGCAAGCTGTCGGATTCATATCTCGACGAAGGTTTCATCCTCGACAAGAAGATCGGCGTCAATCAGCCGAAGAGGCTCGAAAATGCAAAGATCTTGGTTGCCAACACAGCAATGGACACAGACAAAGTCAAGATCTTTGGAGCAAGAGTCAAGGTCGACTCTACGGGGAAGCTTGCTGAGTTGGAGAAAGCTGAGAAGGAAAAGATGAAAGCCAAGGTGGACAGGATCAAGGCCCATGGCATTAACTGTTTTGTGAACCGACAGCTCATTTATAACTGGCCCGAACAATTGTTTACGGATGCCGGGATTGTTTCCATCGAACACGCCGATTTCGATGGCATCGAGCGATTGGCCCTGGTGACTGGCGGAGAGATCGCCTCCACCTTTGACCACCCTGATCAGGTGAAGCTGGGCCACTGTGACCTCATCGAAGAAGTCATCATTGGTGAAGATACTCTCATTAAGTTCTCGGGAGTTGCCGCCGGGCAAGCCTGCACAATCGTCTTGCGGGGCGCCACCGAACAACTTCTTGACGAGGCAGAGAGATCCCTCCACGATGCCCTTGCCGTCCTATCGCAAACCGTGAAAGAGCCAAAGGTGACACTCGGCGGTGGCTGTGCGGAAATGATCATGTCTAGGGCCGTCGAGCAAACCGCCCAAAACACCACTGGCAAGAAGCAGCTCGCAGTTGACGCGTTTGCCCAAGCGCTCAAGCAGCTCCCCACCATCCTCGCCGACAACGCCGGCCTGGATTCAAGCGACCTTGTTACCCGACTAAGGCAGGCTATCAACAAGGGGTTGATGAGCTCCGGTTTGGATCTTCTTACTCCCGGTGGCGGCATTGCAAACATGCGCGAACTTGGCGTCGTCGAAAGTTATAAGCTAAAGAGGGCGGTTGTGTCTTCAGCATCAGAAGCTGCAGAGGTAAGTCGTGGACTCTTATATATATTTCCTTGCCAGATCGCAAGACAGTACTAATACTCTTTTTCTTTTTCTTTTTTTTTTCTTAAGCTCCTCCTTCGTGTCGATAACATCATCCGAAGCGCCCCGCGCAAGAGAGAGCGCGTCTAGGTTTGATAGGGCGTAATGTTTTTTCTTCAAACGCCTACGTTTCAAAGCTGGCTTTCGTTGCTATGTCCTCAAGAGACCAGGTGGGCATCGTGCAAGCACAACAGATTAATGAAAAGGAAATAGGGAATGGTGTTGCCGGCATTGTTGCTACAAGCGCAAAACTAAAATCGCACATATTTGCTAGACATGACAATGAAATAGTTAATTGTACCCCAGGATACCCAACATCTCTACCAGCTCTTTGTCCCAAAAGGAGTTCTCCCAGACGTGACGTGGCGTCAGGGAATAAAAATCGTCCGTCCATTATATCATTCGCCAACGCTCCCTTAGCAGTTTGCTATTGGCTTCTCTGTGGCATGGTTCTTGTCTAAAATGCCTATGCCTATGGGAATATCGGCCGAAGGGCTCTTCAAATTGTCTTTGATGCCTTCCCCAGAGGGTAACTGTGGAAAGTTTTGGGGAACTTGGTCTCTGGCTGCTGGACTTCGAGACCGGCGGAGCTGTTTATAAAATCCGGCATGCCAATCCTCACGGCTTCTAGTCAATTGGAGAATACTAACCAGGCTATTGGCATATCTGCTCTGCGTACGTTGGTCGAAGGCCTCGCGCGGTACTTCTTCCGCATCCCGAGATGTCTCCGAGAAAGGGCCTTAAACTCTCTGATGCTCCGAGTCAAAGACACGCATCCGAGAATTTGGAAAAGTTACTGGGCGTATTGTAGCCAAACACGGCCCGCCAGGGGGAACCTTGGATCTTGTGGCTTCTCATCTCGACAATGTCGACCCGAATGTAAGGAACTGGGCCGTCCAGTGTTTTTTACTGGCAAAGAGATCTTCCAGAGAGACATGTACGTTCTCTGATTTTTCGGTTAAAGGATGCGGATGCCAATGTTAGACTGTATGCCACAAAGGTGTTGGGGAGATACACGTCCTTGCTAATGACAACCCTGGACTTCCTCGTCTCTGAATTAAAAGATGCCGGTCAACATGCCAGGATGCGGATACTAGGGATTTTAAGCAAGCAAGCGGGCTTGCCGGAGAGTATTCAAATGTCTCTGGTCTCTGAATTAAAAGATGCCAATCTCGATACTGGAAAGCGGATAATAAGTATTCTTAGCAAACAAAAAGCGCTGTCGGAGGATATCTTAACGGCTCTGAAACCTAGATTAGAAAATGCTGATCCAGATGCTATCAAGTGGATAGATAATGTTATTGACAAGCAATTGGCTCTGTCGGAGAGTACCGAAAGGTTTCTGGTCGCTATGTCAGAGCGTGCCGGACCAGGTGTCAGGAAGCGGATAGTAGAGATTTTTGAGAACCCGGCCAGCAGGAGCCTACCCTAAACGTTCTGGACTCCGAACTACAAAGTGAATATGGGTGCGGAACGAGGAAGCTTCCTGTGGCTCGGGTTAGGAGTCCAAGTACGTGTGTATCGAAAAACTCTCCCCTGAAGCCTACATTAGATGCTATGCTGAGTTGGTCTGCGTACGGGTACCCCAACGAATTGATAAGAAAGAAACTATGCGCAAGCAATTACTTGTCCTCGCGTTTCCCAACAATGGACACCGACACCATTCGAGGTTTATATAGAAGTTGGTTCGCAGAGAGTGTTGGGGGAGAGATATCACAGCAATGCAGCAGTTCCTTCGCGGTTAATTTAACGCTATATGAGGCAATGATGCGTACGGTAGGGGGTAGGACTTGCCTGCTACTTAAGAGACGGAAGCCTGTACCTCGAAGAAGAGTCGGGTGGTCGAACAGGGATCCGCCTTATAAGAAGGTCGAGGCATCTTGCTTGGACTTGGAGGAGAGAGACGCCAACCGTCCCTTCCAAACCGTTCACGCCGCCAAAATTGAAGTGAACCGAACGAAGCCGCTTATATATTAATATAAACTACACTGGTAAGTTGCCTTTCCTAAATCCTTACGTGCCTAGCTAAAACTCACTTTCTCAGAATAAGAAGTCATTCTTGTCCTTCTTCAATATGTGCTTCATGGAAAACCCGGCTCCAGTATACTTCACCAAGTGCAAGCATACCATCAATATGCCTGCAGAGCCAACTCCCCGGATGTGTACTGCAGCGCACCAGCGTTCACCTCCATCATGGTGTCCTGATCCTCCTAAACCTACCTCAAAAGCATCAAGCACAAACCGTCAACATCTCTGCCCCGATTGTCGAAAGAAGTGATGATCCTAAGAATAAGGACAATAGCGGGAACGGTGGTGCAGGTGCAGGTGCAGGCTCAGCGTCGAAGTCTGCTATTCAAGTTTCTGGCTAGGAATCATTCAGAGCAGAAGCTGATAACTTAAGGCCTTGTTTGTTTCTGGAAAAGAAGCTTATTCATGCTTCGAGCCACTCATTTACACTTTATCCCTGAGCTTCACCACTACGCTGTCCTTTCATTACTACATTTGCTATCCAGACATTCTCCTCACTATCCTCCGATTATGGTGAAGACTTATTATTGAGGCAGTACGCTGTTTGTTTGCTATCCACAAATTCGTGATACATACCTCGGTACGCATACAGTTAGTTGCTTTCAGACACTGAGAAAAGATTGTGAGGCATGCCGCTTTTAGTATTCGTACTCCGTAGCAGAGTTCTAATTAGGCTATCACCCTTATACAAGCAAATCTAAGAATCTAATTGGCTAATTCCTCACTTAATGCTTTTACGAGACATCACGTGACGAGTGAAATAAGATTACCTACTGTACTGACTGACAGAAGTTCCACTGATCTTTCTGTTAAGTACTCTGTAGAAGATAAATTAATCCCTCCAAGCTGCCTTCTGCAACTGTGGCCCTTTACTGTCTTACTAGTTCCAGCTGTCTGTCTTCTGCTTTTGGGACGTTCCTCTGCTACGCTCGCCGGCAACAATCATGATATTCTCCAATATCAGTAACTGGTTCTGGGATGTTGTTTGGCCTCCTGCGACTCAGGACGCAGCTGAGACAAAGGTGAGCTTGATCAAGTTGTTTTCGTCTCCTCTTACTAAGTTGAATGAAATTACAGCTTGATGATACTCAAGCTCAACTCCAAACAAACAAAAAGAGAGTTGGATCATCTCTCAATGCTCAAACTCCTCAAACGGACACACAGTATTACGACGCCCAACCTCGAGTGGATATAGAGCCCTTGAACAGCCCTGAAGAATCCCAGAGCACCCAAATTTCTCCATTGTCCCATGATCCTTATTGTGACCTCTCGGTTATTGGGATTGGCATGACTGGGCTTGTTCTTGAGATGGGGAAGGACCGTGTTGTTAAGATACCTAAGCGCTATGAATCTGAACATTATCGCGACCGCGAGGAGATGGAATATGTGAACGAAATAAATCAGCAAACCCTGCAGAATGAGATCCAAGTCTTTGAACGCCTAGGCAATTATAAAGGCATTATTCCTTGCTTTAAAACATCCCAGTATGGGATTGAGCTAGCCCGTGCACAGGGGGATCTTGAGTCCTATCTAGAAACTAGTCCGGAACCTGAGGACTCGTTAAAAGTCAACTGGATGTTGAGTCTTGTTGAGACCTTCTCCTATGTTCATTCTTGCAAAGTATTTGTGGATGATATTGCTCTCCGCAATATCTTAATATGGGATGGGCAGCTCCGACTTGCAGATTTCGGACAGTCTGTTTTATTACCACTTGATATCGACATTGCTTCCGCGAATGATAATGACTTGAATGTGCAGATTGAGATACTCCATCTTGGTTGGGTACTCTACTCCCTTGCGTCCTGGAAAGTCCATAAGTACTATTTTTTCAACCCTGAGAACCCTGATCTCTGTTGGCCTGAACCAGACTCATTCCCAAATGTTGATGATGTTCTCTGTGGAAGGATAATTGTGAAGTGTTGGCATGGTGAATATGCAAGTATGGATCATGTGAAAGATGAAGCCCATCAATTGCTCATTAGCCTCTAGGCCACAGAGTGTGATGCTGGTAATGTTTCCTGTCTGATATCTGGTTTTTATAAACAAGGCTGCAGGCAGCCCTACTAGAATAGTGTATAACAGTGTTAAGTGGGATTACATGTACAGATTTTATGCTTTTTTATATCTTCAGCGCTGCATTTGGGGCAATCTGCAACAAGAGGACTTCAAGCCTTCTTGGAAAATTTAGAAATTGTCTACAGGTTAACGAATATTTTGTATAGAGATTCAATTTTGGAAGAGATTTTCGTCCATTTTACAGAGGATTTGTTATATAAGGTGATCATTACATAGAGGCATTACTGTACCAATAATCTTGATTGTTTGAAAATATTAGCATTGGCGCTAAGAGTTGGAACTGTCGCCATGCCGCAGGGGCATGCCCAAATCAACCATATCTTAGGTGATCTGAGTATGATTTCGCAGGATTTAGGGTTTAGATGTAGAGCTTGGGTGATGGATGTTGTAGCACAGCTGCCTGATGTAGGCATTGTGAATGTGCCAGATGTTTCAGAGGTGATGGCCAAGGCATATAAAATCATAGATGTGAATCAATTCAAGATAGAACAAGGGACAGCGGAATTCATTGTTGCATCATTCTAGTTATATTGCCTTGGAGTTTTCTTTGTGATAAAGTGTTGTGTTGAACAATAAGGTAGTTCATCACTAAGCAAGCCACACCATTAAACAAGCCAAATCTTCTACCACTAAAATTCCTCCAACATTCAACATTTAATATGTGACAACATGGTCAACAATGTCTTAATTATTCTTGCAATTAAAGATCTTGAATTACAAGAGACCTTAAATTATGCTACAACTGTGAGAAAGTACTCAGTTAACTGAGAGGTTTTATACTGATGATATAAAGATTTCTAACTTGCTCAGAATGAAGTAATGTTCTAATACTTATTTCCCAACTTGATTTTTTCTTTAGCTTTGGTGTGGTTGTCTGTTCTTGTTATGAATCTTGTGGTACAGTAGCCAGAGATACAGAATGATTGGACAAGACCTGACAAGATGAAGTTATAAACTGTTGTGAAGAAATCTTAAGATGGGAAGTCATGTAATCAGAAGGTGATATAAGCAAAATGAGATATAAGAAAGAGAGTATCATATATTGTGATACTATAACATGAGCAATCTAGAAGAAAGTATCATAAGTATCACCAGAAGAGCATCATATATATAAGAATACTTATTACCAGAGATCTGATAAACTTGTTCATTGTGATTAACTTTTCTTACTATCTTATAGATATCTTTGAATCAGATATCTTCATATCTTGATTACTTTCTATACTATTAAAGTCTTATAATACTGTACAATTGTACCTGATTTTGCTATTCTTAAGAAGATATAATAGTCTTGCTCTGACTCTGATATACCTGCACAGAAATTCTTTATTATCAGAGCAAGACTGTCCACTCAACTGAAGTATTATTAAATTATTGATTACTATCTTCAATCTGTTATTATTTTCTTTGAGTTCTTTAATACTCTTCAAATCTTAAAGAATTCAGAGAGGTTCTAGTCACACACAACACATTAATCATTTCTGACTCAGAAGAAAATACACCTGAGACTTCAGAAATTATGTATAAAGAAAGAACTTTCTGTATCATATTAAGTATAAAGATACAACCCTCACTCTATATCAAGATCTAACAGAATATAGAAACCATGTCTGCATTCAAAATATCAGCTATTAATACTTAAGATCTTATAAATAAAATCTTGCAGCTTGAACAAATTACTGAAAGACTTGAAGAGCAGAATCATAAATTAAAAGATTATAATAAGCAGCTTGAGATTCAGATTATAGCTATTTCATTTACTGAATAATAAGAAAAGAAAGATAAAGCTAAAGTTAATTTACTGAAACTTTTCAAGAGTAAATAAGAAAAATTATAAACTTTTTTGAGACAACTGCACATCTATATAAATATAAAAAATAAAGAACTTAGCAATGATAAGAATAAAAAAATAATAGCAGTATTATATCTTTATAAAGTAGCATTTAATTAGTTTGACATCTATCTGTAGAATTACTATAAAAAAGATAAAGTTGATCAGAATGATAATATGCTTAAGATTATTGACAGTTATAATATTTTTATTCAGACATTAAAAACCATTTTCAGAGAAGTTGAGAAATGAAATGTGGTAGCTCAGCAGTTATACTGAATATAATAAAAGATATCACCACAAGACTATGCTATAAGATTCCAGCAAGTCTGTGTCAACACTAATTAGAATAATAAAGCCTTAGCTGACACTTTCTATCAAGAACTATTTGATGAGATCAAAAATAAAATAGTGTGATTAGAGAAACAACTATACACCTTAATCAAAATAATTAAAGTAGCAGTCAGAATTGGAAACTGACTTTATAAATAAAAGATGGAAAAGCAAGAAAAAGCACTATAAAAGTAACTCAGTTTGCTGAATTACATTAAAGATCAAGACTGAAACAAACATATATAAGTAAGCTCTTACAGACACATACTTATGGAGCTGGATGCAATAAAAGCTGACATGCTTAATAAGAAAGAAAAAAAATAAAGAAAGAAAGAGAAATTATGCTTTTATTATACTAAATCTAGACACTAAGCAAAGCAATGCAGAATAAAGAAAGCAGATTAAAAAAACAAGAAACTCAGAGCAATCTTAAAAAAAATAAAGAAAACTCTGAAGTCTAACAATATCTTTAAATAATAATTTAAAAAGAGCAAACTCAAGAAAAACTTTAACAGTAGTTCAGAAAGATATTTGAAGAACAAGTTATAACTTATAAAAGCTTATCTGAAGCTATTTCAGTGACTAAAAGATGAATTAAAATGCCAAAATGAGCTGGATGACAAAAAATAAAAGTTATGTAAAGAATTATGTGTGAGAACAAGAAATAAATCAAGTAATAATTAAGGAATTTAACTACTTGACTGTGAGTACTACTACAAACAGAAAATAAACAAAATTCAGAACTCAAAGCACAAGAAACATGCTTAATATCTGATCTACAGATATTTATATAAGCTTCACCAGAAACAACAAGAAGAGTTTGAATAATGAACATGGGTTATGAAAGACTTTATATATTATAGAGACTATAGTTACAACATCAAGAATTGCCAGTGTTGCAGATGTGACACTAAGAAAGAAGAATGAGAAATATTAGACTTATAGAATATCTTATCTATAAAACACTTAAATTATGTTAAGATTTATTAAAGCTTTTGCTATAATAATAATTGTTCTATCCACAGAGATGGAAAGTATAGTGAATACTACTTATAATTACTAAAGAAACTGTAAGCAATCTAGAAACAAGACAACAGTAATAATAAAGAATATTAGTTAAGTAAAGAACAGATAACCATACTAAAGCTGAAAAAAGAATCAAGTTGAAAAATACTAGAATTTGAGAAATATAAAAAAGATATCTTGAAGAAACTAAGTCTTATAGAAAGTGTGATATATAAAGAAGAAAAATGCTCAATAGCAAGAATATTATAGATCTGAGACAACCAATTACACTGGACCACATACAAAGAAGAGAATGAATTATTAGTAATAATAATGTGTGGACAGCACTGAAATGAAAAACAAAAAGAGATGGAAGAATCAAGCCACTCATGCCATAATAAATTCAAGTATGAATGTCAATGTGAATTTTGTGAAGATAAGAGATTTTGAAAAATGACAAGATTTCTGCATGATTTAGAAGAATGTAAAATCTGTGCAGAATGTAGAGACAACAAGTATATACAGAAAATACACAAGAAATGATGTACTGATAAAGATAATTACAAGATATATAATTAGACACTCAAGATAACTCTTGTTAATTTGGGAAATAAGCAGACTATTATAAATAAGAGTCTGTAAGCAGCATGAATAAGCAAGTAAAACTGTTAGCTATCAATAAACAAATCTGTCACCTCAGAATTATGGTAATCTTACTTGAATCAAAGTATGTAATAGTCTTAGTAGACTCAGAAGCAACTGAACTATTTATTGACAGAAGATTTACTAAATAAACTGACATTATAAAGTAAATAAAGAAATATCCCTATCAGTTATTAAGACTGAGAGAAGGAACTCTTGATAAAGTTAAAGAAGAGACATATCTCATCAGAATAAGAATACAACAACACTATAAGAAAGTATGTTTTAAAGTGATAAATCTAGAAGACTATAATATAGTCTTGAGATACTCTTGATTAAAGTGATATAATTCAGAAATTGACTGGCAAGAAGAAAAAATTAAACTAATAAACTGTGGATGCTCTCTTGAACCAGTATGCTATGATTAGAGATTTATACTCAGAAATAACTTAGATGAGACACTAGCTGTAATAAGTTAGATTAACAGAAAGATACTGCATGAAGAGTAATTGATTAATATAGAAGAAATTCATGAAAATCTGACCCATGATGACAAAGTAAATCAAGTTATAAAGAATCTTAATAACTTGGTGCAGCTGCAAGTACAAAAGAATAACCAGAATGAAAAAATCAAGAAAATCCTACCAGAGAAATTCTGGAAATACATTGATGTATTCAGAGAAAGAAATCAGAACAACAGTTTACTAAAGCATAAACTTTAGAATCATGAGATAAAACTACAGAAAGAAAAACAATCAGCAAAATTGCTAATATATAAGTTGAACAAGAAAGAATCAGCTGAAGTAAAGAAATATATTAAGAATAATCTCAAGAAAGATTATATTAGAAAGTTAATGTCATCAGCAGAATATTCAATACTGTTTGCATTAAAGAAACATGGAACCCTACAACTATATATGGATTACAGACAGTTGAACAGTATCATGGTTAAGAACTGCTATCTGATACCACTGATTAAAGAAGTGCAAGACAGATTGAGAGGAGTAACATGATTTACTTTAATTAACATTAAAGATGCCTATCATCAGATATAAATTAAAAAAGGTGATGAAGGGAAAACAAACTCCAGAATAAGACACCTTAATAATGTGGTTATATTCACTAAAGAAGACTGAAAGAATCATACTGGAAAAGTCAAGAAAGTACTGAAAAAGCTATAAAAATATGACCTACCAGTGAAACTAAAGAAGTGTAACTTCTTCAAGAAAGAAATTGAATACCTTAGACACATCATGTCAACAGAAGAAATATGAATAGAGCCAGAAAAAATTAATAAAATACTACAGTGGCTAACACCAAAAGAAGTCAAAAAAGTTCAGATATTTCACAGCCTAGTGAATTACTACTGACAGTTTATACATGAATTTTTGCAGAAAGTGAGACCACTCACATAATTATTCAAGAAAGATAAAGTGTTCAAATAAACAACAGAGTGTCAACAAGCATTTGAAGCAATAAAAGACAAGTTCAGAAAAGAAGAAATAAAATAACACTATAATCTGATAAAGAGATGTGTGATTGACATGAATGTATTACACTGTGCAATAGTAGAAAGATTACAACCAGATGAGCAAGAAAGACTATAACTAGTTACATGCTATGCAAGAATAATGACACCAGCAGAACAAAACTATAATATTTATAATAAAGAACTACTTGCAATAGTGGGTTCACTGAAGAAATAGAAGATTGA